ATTATTTTATTTTATTTATTTATTTTTTTGCTTAAAATAAAGATCATAATTTTCTCACAATTCTGTAGATGTAAAATAAGGGTTAAAAAAAACTTATTTTTATTTCTCAAACAAAAATAAAACAAAAATAATAATATGTTGGTCTACTGTTTGTTTAAATGCTTTATTTTGAATAGACTTAATTAGTCTTAAGGTTGGATTAAATTGCACTCTGCATTAATTAATTGTTACATATTCGCTGTATTTGGCATATTCTTTCATTTAATCATTTTCCTTCGGCTAAGTCCCTCAATTATCAGGGGTCGCCACAGTGGAGTGAACCGCCAACTATTCCAGTATATGTTTTACGCAGTGGATGCCCTTCCAGCTGCAACCAAGTTCTGGGAAACACATCATATTTTCACAAGACAAATTAACTTTTTTTTTTAAAGGTAAAAATGATTATGCATGCTCAAAAGATAACTAGTGCTTTTCATTTATACAGAAAATTTCCGTTGGTGGTTATTATTTCTTAGAGTTAAAGATGAACTGCGTTTTATACTTGTATAAACTATTTGATTTTGTACTTACTGACACATAGTCACACATTAACACATGATAGCGTAATGATACATTTATAGAGACTATTATGATTCTACTCTTGTTTGAAATAAAATTTTAAATAGTCACTGTACAAGCATAAAAATGTAAATATTGAAGAAAGGGATATTTAAAGACACAGAATATGCACCAAAATGCATATATTTATTATAATGCTCCACTTTAGAATGAATTAAATGTTTATAGATATTGACTTGCTCTGCAGTAAATGTATCTGATGGATTTTAGTATGAAACACTGATCTGTAATTTACATGAGACACGATACAGTTTTAGGTAAGTTGTACAGTAACTTTCAGCATACCTTAATGTTAATTAATAATGCAGAGCTGCATTTTTTTCATAATAAAATCCAAATTTGACAGCTGAGGCTTTGTTTCACATCCAAAGTAAAAAGGGGCAAAGCTAACTGGGATAGGTAAATCAATTCTTCAGATTTAAATTTTAGTATTCCAGTCAGCTATATTGGTAAACACTGAGTGTTTACACAATATATATACTGAGAAAAAGGGGGGGAAATTGTTGTAGTTGGTCAAATGGTGTAGACTTTGAAGTAGCTAAAATGCAAAATAGTTTGAATAAAGAATAAAATTGGCAAAATAAATTTGTTCATTATTATTCTGTACATTTAAATACATTTTTACTAGGCCATATCGTTATCGGCCGATAAATGGTACTTTTAATGTTGTCGTTATCGGTCTGATGTCAAAATTAGGCCGATATCTATAAGCCGATAGATAACATAAATCTCAAAACACTTTTTCGGACATTACATATTTCTGCATATGTACCTTACTGTCACACGTTTTATTCAAAGTTTTTTTATTCATTAGTTTCTAGTTGAGTTTCTAGATCTTTCATTTTATTTAAAATATGTTTGTGTAACTATGGTTATTAAATACTAGTTCGCTATTTAACCTATTATTTTTATGCAACGGTCAAGTGGCATGTTAATTTGCTATGCAAAGAAAAGGAAATAATTTATTTTGGCATGATTCGTGTGAAATCGTAAATATATCTATATAATCACCTTGCAATTGTGAAATTATTGTTTTTTTCACATGGAGGAAGAGGCTATTCAGTTCATAAAATTAGTTTAAACTTTTATGAAGTTTTTAAAATAAATTCAGTTGTTCACTGTATAAAAAATATAACATTTTGAATATATCAGTTATCTGCCTCCAAATCTTAAAAGTTATCGGTTATCGATATCGGCCAAAAAAATCCATACGGGTGTATCCCTATCCCTAGCAAATTTGAGAGTCATCATATAAAACGTGTCACTATACTTTGAAGCAATTATTTATTCTTTTTTAAATTAAAATAGTTTTAAGGTAGATTTAAAAAAAATGTCATGGTTCATTCTGCTGTGGCGACCCCAGATTAATAAAGGGACTAAGCTAAAAAAAAATAAATGAATGAATTTTCAAAATTGTACCAAATTTGACAGGAATTAAATTTAATCTGGCACTACACTTTTATTTTTTTAATGGTGGTTTTTCAGAAATATAGCAGACTTTCCAGACATTCTAAGCAGTGGTGAATGAAGAGGGTTTTTTTTTAGACAGCAGGTTTTGTGGGCGTGGATAAAGCCTTGTGATTGGATTAATGGCAAAAGAGGGAAATGAAAGGCAGATGAGAGGTCACATGAAAAGTCAGTTCAGTTCGACACACTCTTGAACAGTCACTACAGAGCTGCACTTTACACACTTGTTACGCCTGCATGTTGAAAGACAACTGAGAAAGAACAGACAGGAATTACCTGCACATTTCTGTGGTTGAACAGAAAGACACTTCTTTGAGGAAGCAAGGAATTCAGAGAGATTTGTTTTTGGGTGAGTTATGTCTAGGAAAATTCTCTATTGGGTTTTCTTAATGTTTGTTTTGTTTGTGGTTTCAAAGTTTAAGTCCTTACACACACAAAACAACTAACAACTTAATTGTTTTATTTTCAATCAAGTTTAAAAATTGGTGTTAAGACAACATAAACGAATCATGGGGAACACTCATTTTTTACAGCAAATTTCTGAAATGGCCAGAAAAAAGTTAATGTATTGTTTAACAAACTTGTTCAGAAGCCATCCATGTTGGCTGTAGGAAACATTTTTGTATTTTATTTGAACAATTTTCTTTTTAAAATATGTATGGTGTGTGTGTGTGTGTGTGTGTGTGTGTGTGTGTGTGTGTGTGTGTGTGTGTGTGTGTGTGTGTGTGTGTGTGTGTGTGTGTGTGTGTGTGTGTGTGTGTGTGTGTGTGTGTGTGTGTGTGTGTGTGTGTGTGTGTGTGTGTGTGTGTGTGTGTGTGTGTGTGTGTGTGTGTGTGTGTGTAGGCTATAAGAACAGTCACATGATTACTTCTTAACTGTGTACATTCATGTCTGAAAACTGGATAAAAGTGGAGATTTATTTTCTGAGTGTACTTTGACTGCTTTCTCCCTAATGTGGCTGAGCTAAACATGTGGGAAAATGTCATTCTAGACTAGAAAAAAAGCAGCCAAGTGCTGACTTAAGCAAACAAGAACACGCTGACTAATGGTAAGTGCAGAAATCACATTCATTTAGTCTGCTGTGTGTCATCTGCGACGTGCATTTCATCCCTGCGGCTGTCCCAAACCTTTAGGAAAGCATGTTTGCAGTTTAAATGGGGAAAGTAATGGTTTTATTGAGGCAGTATTAGATTATCTGGACAATATTGTCCAAGTGAGTTGCCTAGGGCTGTCAGGGCATTCGATTAACGAAGGTCTCTTTATCTGTTATTTGTTTTCTCCAAACTTGATTTTTTTTTTTTTTTTACGAATGGAAAATATCCAGAGGCTTTACTTTATACTTCAGTTACACTTGTAATGTACATGTTATTTTCTTGGATACAAATTGTGAAGTCATATTTATTTTTAGTAGTGCTGCCGTAATAATAAAAGGTAATATTTGCTAAATATATTTGTGCATATACTGTGTATGTTTGTGTTTATAAATATGTACATGATTGTATTTTATAGTAAGGTTGCACAATATTGGAAAAAGCTGGCATTGTGATATTTTGTTGTGCTGTGATATGAATATAATTTTACCCTATGATTTGAGCTTATTTATTGATTTAGATTGACTGGGATGTTCAAGTCTTTTTTCTGCAGTGCACCTGCATAACATATAATAAATTACAAGCAAATATAAATATGAAAGAGCCTAAATAAATCAATAAACAGTGGTTTATGGCTCTCTGGGGGTCTAACACACCGTAAAACCCAGCAGTCAACTTTATCAAATGAAATGAGTGTAGTTAACTCAACATTTACTGAAAGTTTATTTTACTCATTTAAAAAGAGTTTTGACCTCAGTGTTGAAGGTAATGAGTTCATTAAATACCTCATTTCTTCAACTTAAATGGAGTAAGTTCACAGTACTCGCATAGATTAGTTTAACTCAAATGGTTTGTAGCAATTGGTTTCCTCAAACGGTTTGAGTTGCCTTAACATGTTGGGTTTTACATTACTCAGTTGGTTTATGTTCTCTTCATTTATTGGGTTTTACTGTGCTCAAATTACTTTGTTTACTCAAATGGGTTAAGTTCACAGTACTCATTAAGATTAGTTTTTCAACTTAAATGGTTTGTTGCAATCGTTTTCCTCAAATGGTTTGAGTTACCTGAACATTTTTGGATTTTACAGTGCAGTATTCAAATAGTCTACAGAAATTGTAGTCGTTAAAGGTAAAGTAACAATATTGCAGATATTAAGACATTGTGATATCAAAAACTAAATATAAAACTAAATCTTTTGTACATTTTTGTATTTTATGTACAGTATATGTGTGTATTTATATACATTTTTAAATTAATCATATGGCAGCACTTTTAAATCAAATTTACACGTAAATATAAGACATTCATTATTTGTTTACTATTAAAGTTGTTTTGTATTACACAAATATGCTATATTATATTTATAGGGTACATTTACATATGACCCCTGTTAGAGGGCTATTTGTACAAATTTTTATGTCATCACTTTTTGAAATTATTATTTTTTTTTTTGTAGAATTGTTTGTAGACTACTTGTAATGAAGATTGAGATCTTTTCTGATTTTCTAGGATGTCTGAAAGCCTGTGTCTGTCTGTGTGTGTGTTAATTTGTAAAGCACTGAGGAAATTTTTGGTTGGAGAATCAAAAGGATGTGATGTTTACATTTGCTCTCTTCCGCTCAAATACACATGAAACGAACACTCACAAAGCTTTCAAAATAATGCAAAAAAGAGTCACAGTGTGTGTTTGGGATAAAAAATCTGATTTTGTGATATTTTAGTTTTCTGCAATAAATATTATGATATGGATACAGTTTCACAAGATTTAAATAGCACTATTTGGTTTTTGTTTAAGAATTGTTTTGTTCTCTGATCTCTCCACAGCATCTCTGTACAGTAAGATGGATATGTCACATTCACATCACCATGTCGAGGAGACAACCATGCCATCTCCTGCCTCAGACGATCATGGGGGTCATTTAACGACCTCTGGCAATGGCCACGGAGATCACATGATGATGATGGTGAGACAACCAGCATTTCATTTATCCTGTGTGCCAGGATTTAGAACAGGGGTTACCGCACTTGGTCCTGGAAGGTCTTGCAGATTTTAACTCCGAACCTTAATCAAACCTACCTGATCTTACTATATCTCAATCAGCAGCACCCTAGCTCTCAGAATCATTTATCAGTAGGTTGTGTGCATGATTTTGGGCACTGACAAGGACATTGATGAACTTTGTTTACAACTTTGAGACACACTGAGTATTACATGAGAACGTCCTGCCGTACAGTTAAAGTCAAAATTATTTTCATTTTTCAATATTTCCCAAATGATGTTTAAAAGAGCAAGGCATTTTCCACTGTATTTCCTGTAATATTTTTTCTTCTTTAGAAATCTTTTATTTTGGCTAGAATAAAAGCAGTTTTAATTTTTTTTAATGATTTCAAGATCAATATTTTTGACTGTCTATAGCAGTGGTCCTCAACCTTATTATCACCACAGACCGGTCAATGCATGACAATTTTGCCGTGGACTGGGGGTACAGGGATGCGGGGGTTGCTAGGCGAAAGCAAAACATCGCTCTCACTCTGATACAAGTTTTATTTATGGAAAAAATTACAAAGCATTGCAGTGTTTGTGTGTTCTGTGTTTGTCTGAGATAATTAGTCTTACCAACATGTTTATGTTCCATAAAAGCTAAAGCTGATCAATTCTTGTCATACGCTCCTGGGATTCATTAGAGTGCGTCTGGAAAACGCGAGCACATCATGCTGCTACTGCGCGCAAGCTGCCCACCTCTATTGGAATCTACGAACTTGTGCGAAAAGGCGTTATTTCAATGACAAATGGAGAAATTTCGTGAGTGCAGTATTACAAGTCGAGATCGTATTTATGCAATAAGAGCATATGCGAATCTCTTTGCTTGCGCGCCGATTTCCTCTGCTCGTGCACAAAACTTCTTGCACGCTCTCAAATATACGCGTCTCAAGCGCAGATCTTCTTGTGCGCTCTCAAATAAACACTGCTGAAATGCGATTTAGCGCTTTTATGTAGTGAGTATGTCTCCAACATTTACTAGATTTGCTAGGAATATTTATGAATTTCTCCAATAGACCTACAGAGCAGCATTAATGCCTCCTGAAGTAAAGTGAAACGGCTTTAAACTCCAGCAAGATAATGTCATTGTATGCATAACCATTTAATTATTTATCTATAATTAAAGTATAATTATGGAAACTGTGTTTATCTTAACTGAAAGCTATGTCGTGTTTGCTGGCATCACGCACCTGTCAGTCAGTCAGTCAGTCTGTGAGCACGTCACCTTAAAGGGTTAAACAAATAACACACAACACTACTACGGTTACAGAAAAGCTTGTGCTGTTATAATTCACGTACCTTATAATGCGTTTTGGTGTGATTTATAATCAGCTATTAAAAACAACAGCTGACTGAATGTTTTGTATGAGAAGCTATGTAATGTAGCTGTGTTGGGATGAATTTTGGTGTGGCAATGGCAGAACGAATGTAGCGGAAACCATGCTATATGTTAACGGGCACTAAAAGGTCACCATCCTTCGTGTGCAACAGTTGATCTTCTTACACAGTCATGCTGATTTTGAACCTGATTTGTTGACAAATGGGTTGCGGATCCATTCCATGGCAGTTCGTGGGTCCTTCACTGGGCCTTTTCCCCTTAGCAAAGAAACTTTCAATAGTGATGGGTCGTTCTTGAATGATTCTTTCATTTTTAACAAATCTTCAATGTGACTTGGGAACGACGAGCCTAGGGGCGGACTGGGACTAAAAATCAGCCTTGGCACTGTAGCCACATCAGCATTACCACACCGACACAGCCCATGCACTATTTATATTGGTGTACAGATGGTGAAATAATATAAGGAGTACCATATGTCATAGATATTTAAACATTTAATGCATGTGACTGGAACAAAACAACCTATTTATAACAAATTTATACATGCAATCATTTCATTCATTCATTTTCTTTTCGGCTTAGTCCCTTTATTAATCTGGGAGTGCAACAGCAGAATGAACCGCCAACTTATCCAGCATATGTTTGCTGTTAGCTGCAACCCATCACTGGGAAACCCCTATACACACACATTCACATACATGCACTATGGACAATTAAGCCTATCCAATTCACCTCTACCACATGTGAAACCCACGTGAACATGCATACTCCACACAGAAACACCAGCTGTCCCAGCCGAGGCTCGAAGTAGCGACCTTCTTGCTGTGAAGTGACAGCGCTACCCACTATGCCACTGTGCTGCCCCAATTTAAGACTATTTTATTTAATTTTATGCATTTGGCAGCGTCTGATTTTAGAGCCATTTTTTTGCTTTCCTTTTTTATGGTCCAACTCCAGAAATGCTTGATGGCCAGTCCGTCCCTGGACGAGTCCTCTCAGGTATTGATTTGTCCATCCGCGTATGTGCACAGTTGTGCAGGTGGTTTCATTCATTTTTCAAGTCTTTTGATTTATTCATCATGTGAAAGACAGAAGCCAATCATATGCGTTTAGAGCTGGAAAAAGGTTTGATCCTTTTAACTCTCGAGTCCTCGGTTTGACTCGTTTGTTCATCAAGTAAAAGGCAGAAGCCAATCATATGGATTTAGAGCCGTAAAAAGATGTGATCCGTTTAATTTCTCAAGTCATCCTTCTTTACATGCTGTCCATCCTGTCATGTGATGAACAAACGACTCAAGGTGAACCAAGGTGAACTAATTCATATGTCCTTCCGGCTCAGACTGTGCATTGGTTAGGATTATATGTGACTGTCAGTGTCACGAGAATGAACCACACAAATTTTAAGACATGAAGAGGTGAGCAGAGCATAGAGACAAAAATGCCATCATAGACAAAAGGCCAGGTAAACAATGAACGATTGTTTTCTCTTACTTATAGCATTCTATAACATTCTATGACTTGTTTTTAATATGTTCAACCTTTGGGCTAGTTGTAGATGTGTTTGGAAGCAACTCATAGCATATTAATGATATTTTGGCAAATTGAACTAAATGACTCAAAAAGATTCGTTCATCTCGATGAACGAGACTCAAAAGTCAGAGTCAGTTAAATAACCTTCCATCACTACTTTTCAAAAATGTCTGTTTCTTACTCTTTTTGCTGTTTGTGGGTTAAATTTGGGTGCTCAAGTGACCAGGATGTAAGCGAGAGAATACGGTCATTTTTCAAAATAAAAGACTAAATAATTAAGAATTTCTTGTGCGGCCCCGTACCAATCGATCCATGTACCGTTCCGCGGCCCGGTGGTTGAGGACCACTGATCTACAGAACAAACCACTGTTAACAATGACTTGCCTAATTACCCTAACTCACATAATTAACTTAAAATATTAGGTACTGTCATCATGTCAAAGGTAAAAGAAATGAGATATTAGCTATTATTAAAATTAACTATCATATTTAGAAATGTGTTGGAAAAAAATCTTTCCATTAAACAGAAAGTGGGGAAAAATATACAGGGGGGCTAATAATTTAGGAGGGCTGATTTATGTGACGTGAACTGTATATCATCAAAACTAAAGTTTATAAACAGCAGAACTAATAATTTTAGTACTTTAACTATGTTTTTATCATGAAATAAAACATTGTTCACAAAGTAATGATTCGAGGTTCAGCATAAAAATAAATAATAAAAAATATTGCTAAATTAGATGTGTAAATATTGTTCTTTCAAGATTGCAACATTCTCACCATGCTGTTATTCATGTTTGATCTTGGGAAGTTGTTGTTTGATGTGCGGATTGATGTGATTTCAAACTATAATAGATTTTCATTATATAAAGAAACTTTGGCAACTGATTGGTTGATTTAATTTTTACATTGCAGCAAATGACCTTCTACTTCGGCTACAAAAATGTGGAGCTGCTTTTTGCTGGGCTGGTCATCAACACACCAGGAGGTGAGACGATCTGTGTAACTCAGGTTTTCAAACTTGGAGAACTTAAGGCAGGACTGCTGGCTGTGTAATCTGCTCTTTTGAAAAATATGTATTTGTCATCCTAAACAACAACAATTTTCTTTTCTTTTTTATATATTTTTGTTATTCTGGGTTTCACAGTTTTATAAAAGTATGTTTTGTTTATGAAATGAGTGCTTAAAACATTTTAAAGGGTAATGACACCCTCTGTTTTAGCAGAGTGTGTGTGTTCAGCTGTGGAGTGGAGAAGGCAGACTGTCAACAACACACTGTCTTCAGATTCCAACATTTACTTTCAGAGCCAAAAACATCAAAGATTCCCACAAATGCAAGCTGCAGTTCACCATGACATGCAAAACAAAATCAACACATTCAAACTTCAAACTTACTGTCATGACACGCTTATTTTGTTTTATATAAGGCTAACAAAATATGTAAAGTGTACTCATGTAAATATACACACACTTTTTTTTCATTCATTCATTTTCTTTTCGGCTTAGTCCATTTATTATTCTAGGGTCGCCACAGCGAAATGAACCGTCAACTTATCCAGCATATGTTTTTTGCAGTGGATGCCCTTCCTGCTGCAACTCATCACTGGGAAACACCCATACATACTCATTCACACACAAACACACACACTACGGACAACTTAGCTTACCCAATTCACCTGTACCACGTCTTTTGACTTGTTGGGGTAACTGGAGCACCCGTAGGAAACCCACGTAAACACATGAAAAACATGTAAACTCCACACAGAAATGCCAACTGAACCAGCTCGAACCAGTGATCTTCTTGATGTGAGGCAATCATTCTACCCACTGCACCACCATGTCGCCCTCTACTTTTTTTAAAGGAAAATTATTCTTTTCATCAAGGCAGCATTTATTAAATGTAAAAGAAAATTGTTAAATATTTTTTAAAATTGTAAATAACTGCTTTCTTATTGTATGTAGTTTCAAATAAAATGATTACTCCAGGCATTATTGTTTATTACTATTACCATCAATAATAATAATAATAATAATAATGGGCGACACAGTGGTGCAGTAGGTAGTGTTGTCGCCTCACAGCAAGAAGATCGCTGGTTCGAGGTTTGGCTGGGTCAGTTGCATTTCAGTGTGGAGTTTGCATGTTTTCCCTGCCTTTGCATGGATTTTCTGTGGGTGCTCCGGTTTCCCCCACAAGTCCAAAAACATGCGGTACAGGTGAATTGGGTAGGCTAAAATTGTCCGTAGTGTATTAGTGTAAGAAAGTGTGTATGGGTGTTTCCCAGTGATGGATTCCAGCTGGAAGGGCATCTGCTGCATAAAACATATGCTGGATAAGTTGGCGGTTCATTCCGCTGTGGCGACCCCAGATTAATAAAGGGACTAAGCCAAAAAAAAATAAATGAATGAATAATAATTAATGTTAGAGTGATTTCTGAAAGATCTTGCTGAAAATTGATACAGCTGCATTATTTCATTAAATCTTTGTCTGATAAGGGTAAACTGAGATTTGAACTTGTAGCCATAAAGCAAATTGTAGTAGTTCTACATAGAGCAAACCACTGTAGTAGTTCTACAGTTTAACAAAGGGACTTTTATTGACATTTTAGTAGTTTGAAATAATGTAATGTATAAAAAATAATACAAAGATAAATACGTCTGTAAAATAACTGAAAATATACTGGCAGCTTAATTTAAGGTTTTTGTAGCGTAATATACCACAACAACCCAAATAATAGGTCACTTTAAACTATTACAAATTTTTATTAAAGTCACGTTTTCTAGCTTCTCAAGGTTAAAAGTTGTTGGAAGAAGGATCAATACCTCATAACACGATTCAAAAGCACAAATAAACAGGGGAAAATAGTAAAAACATAAATCGCAAAGTACAGAAAAACTGTTACTTTACAGATATTATGAATATTTCCTACAGTGTAGGAATGAAATGATACAGACATATTGGCAGATTAATTAATTATCAATGCTGATTTACCAATGAAAGTCTCAATCAACAGCCAGTAACCTCCTGACCTTGTGTAACTCACATTCAGCAAAGAGACATGAAATAAGATATCAACACATCAACAAAACGTCACTGTTTGTTGTTGTTTGTACTACACAAAACAGTGGCATTCTTGTGAATAATGGCTCTAGATCTCTTCTTTCAGTGAAAAGCATTAGTACTGGTTGTACAGGTCTTACTAGATTTGTACTCGTTTTATCAAACTCATTCATTGGAATTATAAAAAATGTCCAGATTACACTTGGATATTGGTACAAAGATGAAATGAGGGTTTCTCTTTTCAAGACAATATAAGTGATAGCTAATGCAATTTAATGATAAATAAAGTGTGTATTTATGGTTTTCCTTTTGAGTACTGACTGTCAAACATTTTTATTGTGGTTTACAGAAGACACCTAAGTTTTCATTCTGCAAAAAAATATATTCCCAAGCCCTTTTAGGCATATTTAGAACAGGAATACTTTGATCACATATTAAAAGACTAATTAATGATCAAATTAATTATTAAATTAAATATAAATGAAATTAATAAAATAATGAAAGCCTAATTAATTGCCATTTTAAATCTCCCCTTATGGTGGGCAAATCCCTTATTTTCACATCCCAATGTTGACAGGTTTGATCCACACCAACACTAGGTGAACATGCAAACTCCACATCGAAATGCCAACTGACCCAGCCTGGTACTCGAACCAGCGATCTTCTTGCTGTGAGGCAACAGTGCTAACCACTGAGCCACCATGCCCCATTTTGTTTTATGTAATTTGATGAATGAGTCTTACCATTTTGTATGTCTTCATATAGTTTTGAGAGATTGCATTTTGTTTTATATGTATGAATAAGTACAGGTCAGAATAGGCATGTCGTTTCTTTTCTACATGAATAGATCTGTTACACTAAATGACAATGGAACGTTCTTTTGCCTATATTTTATATTCATTCTATATATATTTTATTTTATTTATTTATACAGGGACAATGTACAAAATGAAATATTGTTTGTCACTAAAGTCATTAGAAATGAAAGGCGTCACTTTACTTGCATTACTTGGTTTCTTTGTATATAAAATCCCTCGTGTTACTGTAATTTATTGCAGACTCAAGTTGGTTTTTGACATTTTATTTCTCTCTGTTCTGTAGAGATGGCCGGCGCATGCATTGGCGTGTTCTTGTTAGCTGTGTTGTACGAGGGCCTAAAGATCGGCCGGGAGGTCCTGTTGAGAAGGAATCAGGTGAACGTGCGCTACAACTCCATGCCTGTACCAGGATCTGATGGCACCGTACTCATGGAGACACACAAAACAGTCGGGTCAGTCAATGGAATAATGTGTGCTACTCAGTTTGCTTACTTATTTTATTTATTTTTTACTCTATGGGGTAATACTTGAGCCAATGAAAAATAACTAGAGGAAAAACTACCCAAATTTAAAACCTGAAGACTTGGATCTGTTAAGCCGTCTTTTCACTGTACACGACATTTGGACACAGCTTTCGGAAAGTCTTACAAAATGTTCAGTTTCAGTTTGTTGTGTACCATAAATTACAGTAACACAAGAGAAGCTGATTCACTCTGTGTCCAAAATAAAGCAGTGCAAAAGCAACTTTATTCTCCCTGCATTCACCTTGATTGAATGAACAAATATTAGAAACTCCTAGACCGCTAACAATTTTGAAAGGGAATGTGGAGACAACATAAAAAAAATAATATTTTTTATTACTCATTTATGAATAGAATGGACCTGCTTAGACAACACTGGAATAGATCACATCTGGGCAGCTGGTCACATGTGGTTTAGTCGCAGGAGTTTAAATATTTTAAAGCCGACTTTCCACTGCACACGACATTTGGACACAACTGTAGGAATATGCCCCCGTGTGGTAATCGCACAGAATTTTCAGTACTGTTGTGCACCATGGGAGAGAAGCTGTACTCACAGTGTCCGAAATAAAGGAGTGCAAAAGCAACAGCCGTGCATTCACCATGGTTACTAGAAACTCAGAGACTGCTAAAAAATATTGGAGGGAATGAGGAGACAATATCAAAAAAGAATATTTTTATTTCTCATTTATGAAAAAAAAATTGTTTTCTTTAAATAAACTTTTCGCTTATTCAAAAAAAAAAAAACTTGAAAATACTATTTCTTATTTCGCGTGCACGGACCTGCTTGGACCACACTGAAATACATCACAGCTGGTCTAGGCATTCGGTCTCGTCGCAGGAGTTCAAATATTTGAATGGATCCGCAGCTCAAACCGGATCTGAAGTTTCCACATACGGAGATGATCGGAACTCCACGCAGCTCCTGGACTACTCTCCATTGGAAATGAATGACTTTTGGTCTGTCGCTTGTCATGTGCCGTGGAAAGTATTCTGATTTTGTAAGCCCATTTTCAGCTACAAGCGGGATAAAATCAGGCATTTGTAAATAATTATGGTATAATGGTCACAATTATAAGACAAACTTATTAAAAATATAAAAATAAATTCCCAATTTAATTTAACAAAGCCCAACAAACTAGGTAATATTTGACAAAGTAGGTAATTTTGATAAAAGCCAGAAATATTTAGTTGAAATTATGATGTACAGTTCAAGTCAGAATTATTAGCCCCCTTGTTTATTTTTTTCCCCCAATTTCTGTTGAACGGAGAGAGGATTTTTTTTCAACACATTTCTAAACATAATAGTTTTAATAACTCATTTCTAATAACTGATTTCTTTTATCGTTGCAATGTTTTGCCACTTTGACAGTACAAAATATTTTAATAGTTATTTTTCAAGACATTTAAAGTGACATTTAAAGGTTTAACTAGGGTAATTAGGTTAACTAGGCAGGTTAGGGTAATTAGGCAAGTTATTGTATAATGATGGTTTGTTCTGTAGACTAAAACAGAACAAAAATATAGCTTAAAGGGGCTAATAATTAAAGACCTTTTAAAAGTACTCGAGTAGTGATTATTACACTGTAAAAATTTGATGTCAATTTATGCATGTGTGTATGAAAATGTGGCGCAATTAGTGATTGTTTAAGGTCATTCTGTGATTTCAGTCATCATACGGTAGACATCCACTATCTTTTTATCAATGACATGAAGTCTAAACAGTTTCTCTGTCATTGTGTAATGATTTTCTGTCTTGAGGTTGTTCTTTATAATGACATTTTCTATGTGCGATTTTGATTGGATGACAATCACAGAACTGATTGTTCTATTTCTAGTACTCTACTTCTACTTCTCTAGCCAATCACCATAGATAAGAAAAGCAATAAAGTAGTGACTGCAAGTTGAAGGATACAACACTAAAAATGACCTCAAGGGAAAGTAAAAGTACACTTTTAAAAGTACACAATTATAGTAGTTTAAATATTTGTAATTTTGTATTTTACACCACTGCACCTAAAATTATATGAAATTTAGGGGATAGGTCAAACTTATGTCAGTAAATAATATTAGATTAGTATTATATTATTATTATTATAGTAAAAAGTTATGATAGTCAGAATACTGTTATAAAAAGAAAAAACTTAAAGTTATGAGAAATGTCAGTGACAATTTAGACAATATTATGCTTTTAAAGTTGAAGTTATGAAAAAACTGACAACAAATGTTGACTTTTATGCCAGAATTATGCAAAATAAATTTGAGACAACATAAAATGTTAACTTTTCATTTGTCATGATTTACCAAAGCGGATGGAAAAGGGCTTAGCAGGTTTTCTTATTTTTATGGTTGCCAAATAATACATCTATAAAAAAAATGTATGCATGACAATAAAAAGGTATGTTTAAAAATTGAATAACTTCATTTATATCATAGGTCTTAAACTCAATTCCTGGAGAGCCGCAGCTCCGCACAGTTTTGCTCCAACCCTGATCCAACACAGCTGATCCAACTAATGAAGATGTTCATGACTCTTTTGAACACCTCAGTTATTTGGATCAGCTGTGTTTGATTAGTGTTGGAGCAAAACCGTGCAGAGCCAAAAATTGAGTTTGAGACACACACACACACATATATATATATATATATATATATATATATATATATATATATATATATATATATAAATTACAGATCATATGTGAACAATTTATATTATTTGTGTAAATGCACAAACATAATTACTACGTTCTCCCATCTTCAGTGTAGTGCTCTTTAGATTAGTTTGAAAACCCATTGCATCCCTGATCTGTTTTGAAATCATTTTCTTTCATCACTGCTGTTAGACTGATGTCATTATGACTGATGATGTCAGTAAAAACAGGCTGACGTGGATCAGCCTTAAGCTTTCACACACTGATTTAATCACCCTGTGTACACAGTCATTCCCACACAGAAGGTAAACATGTGTCTCCTGGGATTTCTTCACACTGATGACATGATGACCGTCATTCTGTAACAATATAAACACCTAATTCTGTTCTTTTTTCCAGCCAGCGAATGCTTAGTATGGCCCACTTCTTACAGACGCTTCTTCACATCATCCAAGTGGTGGTCAGTTACTTCCTCATGCTGGTGTTCATGACGTACAACGGTTACCTGTGCATCGCGGTGGCGGCAGGAGCAGGCCTCGGCTATTTTCTGTTCAGCTGGAAGAAGGCAGTAGTGGTGGATATTACAGAACACTGTCATTAACCTCTCGTGTATAACCTCAAAAAGAAAAAAATTGCCCACTGTACAATCCCAGCATGCAACACAACAAGTGTAGAGCACCATATGATTTCATTCATCTTGGTAAATATTGGCCAAGTAGCATTTTAAAGATTTATTTTGATTTGTTTACACAAATTAGCACCATATCTCATTTCCTGACAGCTCTGTTTTGGTTATTTAATTTTGGAAAATATGAGTGAGGAAGTTTTGTCTAATGTTAATGGTGTAGTTGTGTATATTAAGCAAAGCTAACAAAGAACTTTACATTGCTTAGCGGCACAAATTAATATGAAACATTTGTAAACATTTTTGACCTCTTGCGACCAATTATGACAAATCAATGCGAAATTTCACCACATTTTTGCAGCCAAACTCGAGTCATTTTAATAGGAATCCGCATATCCGTTAATAAGGTTTCCAAATTAACTGATTCGAAGTTAACTAATCTTAAAATCGTCAAAATTTAAATATCATTTATTACCGTTTACTAAATTTTCCGCCCATTGTCAATTTAGCAATTTAGCTATTTCATTATCGCAACATTTTATGAGGCTTCCAAATTTACTGATAACTAAATTATCATGACATTTGTAAAAATTAAAAAGCTCAAATTTGAAAAAGACATCACATTTATCAACATTCATAATTTTTACAGACAAACTCTAGACATTTTAATGTACGCAATCATTTTTGCGCAAATGCAAAGCAGTTTGTAACTGTTTCCAAATTAAAAAAAATAGTAGATTGGATTTTCCAGTCCTAAATTTTTTTAGTAAAATTTATTTGAATAAGATTTCACTTAATTTTCAGAGACAAACTTATTTTAATGGTAATCCACACAATTTTGCAAAGTGCTAAAGATTTCCCCTAACATTTATTGCAACGACTTTGCCCAGGTTTCCCAAAAAAATTAGTAAGTTTATTGGGTTCTTGGGAAATTTCCAGTCTTTAAATGCAAATTTTGGGAAATAATCAAAGACAAACTCTAGTCACATTAATGTTCACAATCGTCAATTTTTGTGCAAATGCGGTTACGCAGTTTTTCAAGTTGTAAATTGGCCAATAGAACGTAGATTAGATTTTTGTAACTTTCCCACTCTTGAAAATTTCAATTCAATACATTTGTGAAATATTTACATTGCTGACTAAATTTTTGCAGACAAACAAATTTTTTTGGAACTCACTAAATATGATACAACTTAAAGCATTTTTTGACCTCTTGCGACCAGTCATGACGAAAAACATTTCACCAAATTTTTGCTGCCAAACTCTAGTCATTTTAATAGGAATCGACGCAACCGCTAATATCGCAAGTGCACAATTATTGCACCAGTTGACAAGGTTCTCCAAATTAACTGATTAGATAGTAATTGGATTTGCGTGAAATTCCAATTCATTTATTACTATTCACAAAATTTTCACACCATCATCAGTTTTGAACAAATGTGAAAGATTTCTCTACACATTTATCACAAAGATTTACGAAGGTTTCCAATTTTCACTGACAAACCCGTTTTAATGTACGCGATCAGCATTTTTTGCAAATGTGAAGGATTTTCCAACACCTTTCTCTAACAGTTTCCAAAATGCAAAAGAAAGTAGAATATTATTCCCATAAACTTTCCGTCTTGAAAATTTCAATCCAATACATGTGTGAAAGATTTTTACTAAATTTTCGCAGACAAACTCCTTTAAATGGGAATCCACAAAATTTCGTAAAGTGCTAATGACTTCCCTTAATATTTATCGCAACGGTTTACAAAGTTTCCTCGCAAACTATTAAGTTTATTGGTCTTGTTAAATTCCCAATTTTGAAAATTTACAAATTTGCAAATATTGGTAAGAGCGAATTTTTTAAAGGCAAACTTTTACAATCTTTTGCAATCAATTTTGGGCAAATACGGTTACGTTTTTTTTGTTACATTTTCCTGTTGCAAATTGGCCAATAGAAAGTAGACTGAATTCTTGTAACTTTCCCAGTCTTGAAAATTTTCAGTCTAATTAATTTTAATAAGATTTCACTTAATTTTCGTAGACAAATTCCTTTTCATCGGAATCCAGACACTTTCGTAAAGTTCTAATGATTTCCCTTAACATTTATTGTGACAATTTACAAGTAAAGTTTATTGAACTCCTGTGTAATTCCCAATTTTGAAAATTTAATTGCAAATATTAAAAAAGAGTGACTTCACTGAATTTGCAATTACAAACTCTAGTTATATTAATGTTCACAATCACCAATTTTGAGCGAATGCGCTTACGTTTTTGTAAAATGTTCAAGTTGCACATGGGCAGATAGAACATAGATTGGATTTCTTTAACTTTCCCAGTCTTGAAAATTTAAATCCAATACATTTGTGACGTATTTACATTGCTAACTGAATGTTTTGCGAACATTTTTATTTTTTCGTAACTCTAATTTTCATGAATTTGTCTGGCAATTTGGTAAAAAGAACAAACAAGCTGCGCATCCTTCATCTCTACACTTCAGCCTGCACAATTTAAAACATTAAGATCATAACCGTCACCTTATCAGTCTACCTCCAGATGGTACCGAGTCACGAGTGACCCTGTTCACTATAAACACATCTGTTCTACACATCTCATGGATTATTATGTTTATGAAGGTGCTTTTGGGTGCAACAGAGCCTTACTAAACCCCTTTGCCTTAAACAAGGGTACCGACACCCAGGAGGCCGACTCTGTAAACTCTAAAAGCCAAACTGGATCTGCTGGACCCAGTAAACAAGCACTAGCGGCGGTGGGAAGGTGTTTAATACTTCTTTTTTTTTTTTTTTTTTGAGGTTGTTATGGCCAAGTGTTTCAAATCAATGAAACGACAGTTAATAATCAGTGACCATTGTTTAGACTTAAACACTGGACTGAATGATGTTTGCACAAGAAAGAGAGGTTTTGGGACTCTGTGTTTGCGGAGTTTGAAGTCGAACTTTGCTCCCTTTGGAGTGATTTTAAATAAATATTGGGGGGGGAGATTGGAGAAAAATAAATTATATCTGATGCCAGTGTCACCGATTTTTTTTTATAATTTATATTTGTAACACTCTAGTATGACTGTGTGTGATATCAATGTGTTCTGGCAATCTTTATGTAGATCCTTTTACGTTATGACATCTTTTAAATGACAAAATGTGGCGCGTTTGCGATGTCGGGTAAATCATGAGCCCTTTGGAACATTAAGGTCATCGCTCTGATTGTTACTGGGTAGCAGAATGTGAATTTTATGTTCAATATATGCCCCTTTGTTTGGGTGCGCCTTTTACATTCAGGACCCAATTAAAGTGCCCAAAGAGTGTCTGAATTGCTTGTGAAAACAAAAGCCGAGGCTTTCTTACGGAGAAAATCACATATTTTAAACCAGTAAACATGTGGGTTTTAGTAGGAAGCCTATTTAAAATACCTTTCCTTTATATTTTAGTTACAAGCAGAACAAAGAAATGTGTGTAATCTCAGAGGTAAATATTCACATCATGTTGTTTTTGTAGCAGGTGCCACTCTGTAGAACTGTATTTGAGGATCGGTTCTCCGTTACGAGGCTTATTCGTATTGCAGATTGCTTTCGATATCAGAATAAGTTTGTGCTGTTTTATGTGTAGGAAAAAAACTGCTAGCCCTTGCGTGGAAGGACTGAACCTCATGTCCAGTGTTGTGGCCGTGTTAACATTTCTTAGTCTGTTTACAGTTCAGTCACATCTGTAATGTCCGACATGTAAACCGTACTGTAATCGTTAAAGAAAATGATGAATAAATGTTATGATTTCAGCGATAGTTGTTGGGATTTCATTTATAAACTAATTTGTTTTTGATGCTTGACGTTTTTAAATGTTTTTTTTCTCTGGAATATGTATATCGCAGTTGCCTCTTTAAACTATTGCTGTTGCTTTGGAAAAAAACATAAATGCAGTGCAAAAAGATGCCGTGCTTAAAGACTCCAAAAGCATTCACTGCATCATAAACATTCATTAGAAAGAACTTCAAAAGCACAATGTTATGAACACAATATCTTTTGTATATTTGTTTTTTAGATTGAGAATATTTGCAGAATCTGTGGACATTTTTTGCTAATTCTGCAGAGAATTTTGTAAAAAATCTGCAGATTTATGCAGAATTATTTTGGGAGTATCGTAACTAAATATGACATAAAAAATAATAGCTTTTTAAATTTTATTGAATGTTTACAATGCAAATCCATCTAGATCCACTTTATTTGGTAAACAAAGCAAGTTGTATAATATATCATATAATATATCTACTGAAAGACAGAAAATAATCCAGTTTCCCCCACAAGTCCAAAGACATGCGCTTTAGGTGAATTGGGTAAGCTAAATTGTCCGTAGAGTATGTGTGTGAATGAGCGTATGGATGTTTCTCAGTGATGGGTTAACTGAATAAATATAAATTTAAGCACGTTTACACAAGCAAATAAGTAAATAGATTTCTGCGTGCACAGATTTTGTGTGGGCTAGCTATAAGTAATATCATAGAATAAATAATTTCCTGAATATCAACACATAAATTACAACTATGTTCTACAGACGAAGTGGTGTTAAGTTGACAAATATTAGTTGGGATTTTTTTGTGTTGGGCCAAAGAAAAGGGTTTCAAACAGAGCATTTCTTTCTGTCTTTTTGTGTGTGTGTCTTTCTGAATGAATCTGTTTCTGTTTTCAACTCAATGACTAGGCCCACACGAAATCCTCACGCGCAGAAATCCACAGATTTCCACAGAATATTTAGCCTATCATTGAGTCTATGTGTTTACTTGTGTAAATCTGTGAAGATTTATATTTATTCAGTTTTTAAAAGAATTTCACTATTATTATTGTGATATAATAATAGTAATAATAAAATGTTCAGTTGATTCATTTACAATACAGTTTGTAAAGTAATATTTTCTGTCCTTTAGTAGACATATTATATGACAGACTTGCTTTGTTTATCAAATAAGTGGATCTACATGTATTTGCATTGTAAACATTAAATAAATGTAAAATGTTTTATTTTATTTAATATATAAAGTTTTTAGTTACGATACTCCTAAAAAAATTCCGGATAAATTTACAGATTTTTAACAAAAGTATCCGCAGGAATAGCAAAACATTTCCGCAAATTCTGTCTGGCCCTATCAATGACCTAGTAATGCATTCATTAAAAGAGCCACTTGTTTTGTTTCTAAATGAATCAGCTGTTTTGAAAGAATCATTTAAATGAATGATTCAGTGAAAGCATCAAGGCAGGAAATTATCCACTGTCACTTTTAGGGTTTGTTTACATAGACATCCGATCAGAGAAAATGCAAAAAAGATCTGATTTGTGAAAAACGATTACATTTATATTTGGCCACATAAATGTCTCCTAAAGTTATGTCGACTAAAAGGTCAGATGTACATCATTCTTCCCAGATAAATATGCAGGGCTCAAAATTAACCTTTTGCTTGGTTTGCATCAAAAATGTAGTCGTGCCCACCAATTACTCTTACTACAAGTTTTATATTAACAGATTTATTGCATTTGGAATCACTACTCATCAGAACTAAAAAATATGCATGCGCCCACTGGCACTGCATGAATGAAACTTAGTTAACGATGATAGTAGGGATGATGTGATGATTTACAGGTGGTGTCTAATATTGCGCAGATGATATTGATGCATAACTTATTATTTGCATCCGTCATCTTAATAGCCGGTCTTTTAATGAGCTGCAATACCGGTTTAATTATAGTGAATGCACACCTTTTTACTATTGTGTATGTGGTGTTACAATTTACATATAGCTGCAACTTGCATGGCTGACAGCATCCTGACAATTAAACGAAGTATCAAACGGAACCCCTCATGCATAAAATGTGTAGATGTGGTAAACACTTTTACCTGCTAACTCCGTCCCACAGGCTTTAAAGAGAATGGCTTTTAGTCATTTTTATAGCGGATTTTAACCCACTAGAAGAGTGTTTTATACACTCTTGAAAAAGTGTTAATGGTGTATCAACATTCACCACATGATCACTAATCAGACGTGCCATTACTGGTAACTTTAGGTGGTTTCTAAAATAAAATCTGTCAGTGTTTTGTTTTCATTCTCTCACCTCCAGTGCTTTTTATTTTTTATTTCAGTGTTGTGTTATACCCAGTGTTGGGGAAAGTTACTAATAAAAGTAATGCATAACAATAGTTACTCCCCCAAAAAAGTAAGTAGTTGAGCAAGTATGGCAAGTAATGTATTATGTCATATAGCCTGTACATACATTCGGTACGACCTCCACGGTTCAATACGTGCTTGTGAATTGCGGTTTTCACGGTTTTGCGTTTAAATAATTTGTGTGTGTTTTATATCTCCCCGAATTGACTGTGTGTGCCTGTAAGTCCATGAGCTGAGATGAGGAAACTCCTCCCCGCGAGTATATATACAATCACTATGTCTTAAAGTTAGGGGTTCTTGACCATCATTCCACACTTTAACATGGCGAGCGGCGGTAAAGTGAGGCTGAGGCAACAGTACAAGGAAGCGCCGGCGAAGAGAAGCAACAGTACGAGGAAGTGCAGGCGTCTTACAAATCTGCGGTGTGAGGACATTTCGGTTTTCCCGGTAAGTATAATGCCAATAAAAGAAAAAACGGTGACAAAAAATAACTGTGAAAGCATTGTTTTACACGTATAACCATGACTGCACATCTGCAGCGCCATCACCCAGCAATATCACTGTCTGAAGGCAGGATAGCAGAGAAGGTAATAAAGTCCTCCAAATAGCAACAGTCCCTCGCTGAATCTTTCAAGCCAACATACCCAACTGGTTCCGAGAGACGCATTTAAATAACAAAGGCAGTGCGGGTGTTTATTGCTAAAGATTTGTAGCCGTTTATGGTGATGGGAGATGTGGGCTTTTGTCATCATATAAAAGCAGTCGATCCAAGTTACAGATTACAGTCTCGCATTTTTCAGCATCGAGATAATTAAGATGTTTTATTTATGTTTACTTAAGTACAAATATGTTTATTTGAAATGGCCAATTTATCTTTATTACTTCACATGTATGTTTATTTTCAAAGTGTAGGATTTTATGTGTTTCCCAGTTTGTACATGGGCTACCAGCAGCTGTCAGATTTCAGTGTTCATTTTTTTATACAATACACCAGGAACTACTGTACTTTTTTTGGCTTTTAAGTAAAACAAAATGAGTTTTGCAAAAAATCTTTTTTTATTTTTTTCTCCTTTACCTCTTACTGTTCCTATTGCCTGTAGAATAAAAAAACATGTGTTAAGCCATGAGAACCAAACCGAACCGAAAACAGTGTTAAAAAACAGGTATGTATTGAACCGTGGGCTAACTGTATTGTTGCATTCCTAATATATATATATATATATATATATATATATATATATATATATATATATATATATATATATATATATATATATATATATATATTAGTAGTATAATCTGTATTAGGGATGCAACGATTAGCTGGTTTCACTATTAACCGGGATTTAATTAGTCACGTATGGGCTTCTCAACACGGCATTTCTGCACGGAACAAGACTGCAGCAACTTGTTATGGCAACTGTGCACTTGTTTGTACATTAAGGCTAATAAGCAGCGCACTCTACTCACTATGACTGGGGCTATTAACTAAGGCAAGCTCGTCCAAGTTAGTTTTTTTCAATGGAGGGACGCGCACGCAACACAACACACTCGTGCTTTTCAGGTGCACTTAGTTGAGATGACAGGGGGCTTTTGTGACCGTGGGAATTGCAAACGGCTAACGGTTTAAGGAAGAAGCACTGGAAAGGACACAGATTGGCAAACCCACTTAAAGTTACAAATAATGGCGTTGTGGAGAGCGATCATGTGGCGAATGCCAGCTGGGATCAACTGAATGTTTTTAAAGAGAGTGGTGAAAGACTCAAGCCTGTTTCACACCGCAGGCATGACCAGAGAGTGTTTTTTTTCGCATCCATGTTAACAGATTAGAGCTTTCATACTGCATGCAGAAGCAGTGCGTCAACACGAGGCATGTGCATCATTCAAGCAGTCGTGGTTTCGCCGCTGGGTCTATTTTACTGGTGCATTGATAATGACCAAAAACACATTGAATGAGCAGTTTTACCAAATAATGCATCAATAATATCCACTGAATTTTTTATATGCACTTAAATAAAATTAAACGATTAAACCAGCAACAAATATTTAGTTGGGCACAATATATAAAACAAAATTTAAAACCGTTTTAAACTATTTATAAACTAATGGAGTTTTGAGATCAATGAATGCAAATAATCATGATAACCGTGATTATTTCTAATACTATAATTGTACAACCAAAATTTATAATCGTTGCGCCCTAATCGGTATTATCAAAAATATATTTCTGCCAATATCACATTTACACACCATTTCCACATCCAACTAGAAAGGCTTTATTTATTTGAATAGAAAAATAGTCATTTGAAATCAGTTATCACAAACACCGTTAACCAAAGCCATAATTTTATGTCCATTTCTAATCTGGCAAGATTGATGCAGAATATATTCTGTGTGCACGTACGTGTCTGTGTTACAGATTCTCAAGACCTTATAGTCCATTGTTCAGGATTGGCACTTGTCAAAACTGAAGGTTTCCGAAGAGCGATGGTAACGTGTTAGGCTTGGGGTGGGGTTTGTATCCAATTCTCTCGTGAATCATCTGCTCTCTGGTTTTCCCATCAGCAGTGCCACCTGCCGCTCCGCTCATCTCACTGGATGTGGCGACACCGACGACATCCACCTCATCCCTCTGTTTCTTCCGACTCTAAACACATGTGGGGAAAGTAACATGAGATTATAGAAAGCACATCACTTTTTACTTTCTGTAAGATTTGCTTACATGCTTGCTTTTAAATAAGAAAAAGAATGATGAAGAAATCACACTATTACTGACTGATTTGCAGTGGTGGACTAAGAATTTTTGCTTTATTTTAATTAAGTAGGGGAGAGCAGGGACTAAAGTATCATTTTCATAAACTAATAATATCATTATCATAACTTAATCATAATTGATAATGTTTTTAGCAGAAATATATTTTCGCTGTGGTTACTAACACATAACTGTGGTCTATCAAAATCAGCTGTAGAACAACTCCAATACAACTTTACTTTTGATGCTACAAAAAAGCTGGTTGATGCAACATTTATGTTGATATTGGACTACGCTGATGTTATCTATATGTATGCTTCGTCTTCTAGTCTGCATGCATTGGACACTGTTTACCATGCTGCACTTTCTATTAACTAGATTTATAACTAGTTTTACATCTCTTATCATTGTGTGTTGTATACTAGGGTAGGTTGGTCTGCTTTGTCCATTTGTAGACTCAAGCACTAGCGTATCTCTGTTTACATTTCTATATTGGGTTTACTCCCATCAAATTTATAGAATTACATTCGGGAAAATCCTGTCCTCGGACGAAGCAGTCGCACCAGACCTAGTGCTGTCGCCTCACAGCAAGAAGGTCGCTGGTTCGAACCATGGTTCAGTTGGCGTTTTTGTGTGGAGTTTGCATGTTCTCCCTGCATTCACGTGGGTTCCCTCCGGGTGCTCCGGTTTCCCCCACAGTCCAAAGACATGCAGTACAGATAAATTGGGTTGTGTTTAGGGGTAGGGGGATAGAATCTACTGTTTGTACAGTAGAACCATCATTAAGGGGTCTATGAGAGTCCCCACTGGGATGAAGGAACATGTCTTTATGTGTGTACAGTAAATTGAAGCAACTATTTATGACACATGTTTAAGACACGATGACAAGTCCTAAATTTTACCTCCAGCTCTTTCTTGACACTTTCAAACTCCTCCGTGTCGTCCAGCTTGAGCTCGAGGCGCGTTGGTTTCCTCCGCAGCATCTTCACATCACCGGCTTCTCGTTGCCTGGAAACACGTTACACGCGCTGCTTAAGTTACTTTAAACACTTATTAACGTTACGTTACATATATAATGTATGTTCTTTAGAAATCGATGGGTTAACCTAGTTGAGTTGTGGTAGTTCTATTCAACTCTTCATATACATTTTGACTCTGAGAAAGCTCAAATGCTATGTTTTAAGGAACCTAACGTTGCAAAAGCTCATGATTGCAGTATTATATCTGCATACACAGTACACTTTACTTGAACGTTTACCGTCGTGTTGTGTATTTCGTAATTTCAATAAATTCAGCGACGCCTGCTTCAACACCATAACGTTATTGTTTAGCAGCTACATGCTAATTAGCCTAGTAGCTCTAAATTCTGGGTCTTAAACAGTGACAAACGTCAGGATAATGAACCGTGAAGATCGTTTATTTTAGTAAGCTTGGCAAACTATTGACAAACAATTCTAAACTGAAAGAAGATGACTATTTCAGCTCACATCACTTACCGTAATTATTCACGCTTTAGACCGTAGAAAGAGCAGAAGGAATCATGGGAAATGTAGTTTAAGCGTGAAGGGAGAAAAAAGGGATAAACGTGTGTGATTTTTTTCTGTTTTTATATTTTTTCAAGTTTTAAATTGATAATCGCATTAGTTGAATTATTCTTTCACTGTCTATTTAAGGGCATAGACGGTTGAAGTGTTCATTAACCTTAGTTTTTTTCTTCAAGTTTTTGATCGATTTATTTTGTTAAACCTTTAAAACTGTAAATGTACAAAACTTGTTGTTTTAGAACGGTCCGTGTACGTTTTGTTCATTTGTTTTCCATTTTCAAACGGAATAAAGGAAATGGAGAAAACGGCCGTTTTTCCGTTTTTCTTTTGCTCACGAGAAAACGAAAAAACGAGATTTTGGCTGGATTTTCGTTTTTTGGTTTAGGGGTAGGAAAACGGATAAACGACTTTAAAATTCATTTTACACATGTAGGCGGTGCTGAAACGCCCACTTTCCTCTAATTGGTCAACCAAATCTGCGCTCGTGACGTCACCCTCAAAATTAAAGCCTTACACGCAGGCTTTTGATTATTATTATTTAATTATATATTAACTAAGTTTACACATTCTATCATTTGAACCACACACAGTTAGCAGGCTTACATTCATTGCGTATGTATAAATTAAATAAAAACGTAAAGCAGTATTCTTAGACATTTGTCATTAAAATAAGGTCATAGTTCACTGCTAAGCTTCTTGCTGCTATACACCTGATGCAGAGCAAAGAAAGCCATTTCCGAGGAGCACCTGGTTTGCATGATTGTTTCAGAGCAAAGGCTTTATAATAATAATAATTATTATTATTATTATTAATATCAGTTACTAGTGTTTTTATTGTTTGGTGTGTTTTTTTTTTCTTTTTAATAGTTGTTAGCAGAACCAGAATAAGAACACTTTGGGCCCTGCTATAAAAACAAAGGGTACCATTTGTTTTCATTTATTTCTTCCTATTTTAATATTGTAATTATTTTTTTGATAATTAATACTATTTTATTGCAACGCCAAAGTAGGCCTGTCTTATTATTTTTTTTTTATTATTAAATTTGCTGTTATTGTAGGCTAGATGGCAGGCTTTAAATATTTTAAATAACATTTACTCATAACCTTACTAATTCGAGAGCCGAACCTAAAAAAGTTTAAGTGCAATAAGCCTGTATAATAAAGGGAGCCGCAATGCATACTTCTAGCGCATTCTTTCACTCAACAATTATTGCTGGAATAATAAAATAAATTTGAAATTAACTAATTAAACACATTATAGTTGATAAAAAAATTGTGTCTAGTAGTTCCGACAAACAGATGAGCTCCCCACCCAGCAATAGTTCGTCGAAAAGACGTCGAAAAGACGACATTGTCAGACGTCCAAACAACGTGGAAAACAGGTGGGAAAGTGAAAGACGAAACTACGTCTTTTTAACGTCGTCGAAAAGACGTAATTGTAAGACGTCCAAACAACGTGGAAAACAGGTGGGAAAGTGAAAGGTGAAAAGACGTCTTTTTCATGTCGTCGAAAATACGTCAATTTTAAGTCGAAATTTGGTTGTGAGAAATACCTTTATAAACGTTTTAGAAAATTCACATGATTCAGAAATTCAACATTTTTAAAAAAATATTATTTATTAGCCTAATATTTGCAGACAAAAGTAATGACAAAACATGTATTGGTCAATTTAACATTAACAACAACAAAAGCATCAGATAGTTTTTCCGCTCTGCGTCTGCCACCGCCAGACCGTACAGGTGATCTCTCACGGCCCTGTAAATTCCGTGGCTGTTGTGTCGCAGTTTGGCTGCACCTGCTATAACAAAGAAAAACTCTGTTTTAGTTGATATAATGCTCATCCTTATGGGTTATATTGAGAAAATTAACGTGACATTCAAATAATAAATGCTATTTTGACTGCATGATACACACGTTTTTTTTAAGGACACATTTCAGTTAATTCAACCATACTTTTTATTGTATTATTATTTATTTTTATGAAATGGACAGAGATGGCAAAAATACACACATCCTACTCAAAAAAAGTGATACTGATGCTTAAAACAACTCTGGTAAAAGTTGAAGTAGCCTACTGACTGCACTTTTGTAGTCAAATATGGCCTCAAACACGTAATAAAAAAAGTTTCTATTACTACCTGTTTTTCACGCTGGTAACTAGACTCACATCCAGGCCCGGCGCCAAAAATCAGAACTGAGGGGGCATTTTAAATCCATAGGGAGGCACTAGACCTGGTGGCTGATTTTGGTCTCTCTAGTTCCTTTCATTTAGGCTATTTATTCACATTTATTATTACTTCACTTTGTTACAGACCTAAGGCAGTATTATATGTTTTAATAGTAATATTAATATGCACAGTGTCGCTATTACTGATTTTATTAATGATGGTAATGCAACGCTACCGCTTATTAATGCAGACGGATCATGCCCACCCAGCAATAGTTCGGTGAAAGGTGAAAAGACGTCTTTTTCATGTCGTCGAAAATACGTCAATTTTAAGTCGAAATCTGGTTGTGAGAAATACCTTTATAAACGTTTTAGAAAATTCACATAATTCAGAAATTCAACATTTTGTTTAAAAAATATTATTTATTAGCCTTATATTTGCAGACAAAAGTAATGACAAAACATGTATTGGTCAATTTAACATTAACAACAACAAAAGCATCAGATAGTGTTTTCAGCTCTGCGTCTGCCACCGCCAGACCGTACAGGTGATCTCTCACGGCCCTGTAAATTCCGTGGCTGTTGTGTCGCAGTTTGGCTGCACCTGCTATAACAAAGAAAAACTCTGTTTTAGTTGATATAATGCTCATCCTTATGTGTTATATTGAGAAAATTAACGTGACATTCAAATAATAAATGCTATTTTGACTGCATGATACACACGTTTTTGTTTAAGGACACATTTCAGTTAATTTAACCATACTTTTTATTGTATTATTATTTATTTTTATGAAATGGACAGAGATGGCAAAAATACACACATCCTACTCAAAAAAAGTGATACTGATGCTTAAAACAACTCTGGTAAAAGTTGAAGTAGCCTACTGACTGCACTTTTGTAGTCAAATATGGCCTCAAACACGTAATAAAAAAAGTTTTTTATTACTACCTGTTTTTCATGCAGGTAACTAGACTCACATCCAGGCCCGGCGCCAGGAATCAGAACTGAGGGGGCATTTTAAATCCATAGGGGGGCACTAGACCTGGTGGCTGATTTTGGTCTCTCTTGTTCCTTTCATTTAGGCTATTTATTCACATTTATTATTACTTCACTTTGTTACTGACCTAAGGCAGTATTATATGTTTTAATAGTAATATTAATATGCACAGTGTCGCTATTACTGATTTTATTAATGATGGTAATGCAACGATACCGCTTATTAATGCAGACGGATCATGGCTTCAGTGCCAAACGAGTGTTTTAAATCATATTTTATTCTCCTTATTTATTTCAATTTTATGTCAAATAGCAGGCATATGAATGTTTAAAGTTTTAGGTAAAGACGTCAAATTATGCCCACACATGCAAGCTGACCCACGATCAGACTATTCGTATATCCGGTAAATAAATATAGTAAAATCAGCTTAACCAAGTCATCCCGCTTTACGGAGCCTATTATCCAACCAACATCAGTGTTAGAGAAAAGCTAAATGTTACCCTAATGTCATTCAAAACAATTACTTCGTTACATTTTAAGGCATTAGTGTAGCCAGAAAAATACCTAAAAAAGATGCCTAAATTCACAGTTATTACCGTGAAAATATGTTTGGCACGGATAACAGTCAACTTAATAGGCTATAAAACTTTTTTCATCATTTTAAATGTAAAAATAAAGATTTATCTTAGGCTATCATAAGTGTATTTTTTTCGTGATATTGTCTGCTTGTCATTTGTAAACCATTATAAACCATTAGGTTACTAGGCCTACCCGTCATTTTATTTATTAATTTATAATAAATTAACATTTTTAGTTATTTAAATTTTAATAACTTGTTTTCGGGTTATTTTTATTTTAGGGCCATGAGCTAAAAGTCAAAACAAATTCGATATGCTGTAATATATTTAATGTTGTTTAATTTTGTATAAGCAAATAGCAGTATAGCCTTAATTACATATTTGTAAAAGATTGTGAGAGGTTTCTCGGTTGATCCGCGGTAGTTGCCCTTAAGCAATATTCCATTTATATCACTGCAAACTTGACTTCGCAGGCTGGACATCTTTAAATGTAAAAGGCATTTATTATACCTAGACTGCTGCTGCATAATGGGATGTTTCTCTATACAACTGTAAAAGTGTGCTTTTTAGCAATGTCAAAATGAAAGCAAACATTCAAAGTGCTATGCGTTTTGTCAATTTTAGCTTAACTGTAATCATATTAATAATAAAACTTTAATGAATAAATTTAAATATTATTTATAGTGTAGCCTACTGTGGGACTGTGCAGTGAACTATTTATTTTTATTTAAACATTTTATTAGGCTACATCTTCCCGAACAACTAATGTGAAAATGACTGGCAGTTGAGTCTCTGCTAAAATTTATTTAACAGCAAATTTCTTCTGCGTTTCTTCCTTTTAGAGCTCAAGAGAGTTGTGTTTAAAGATTTAGTTGACCGAAACATGTAATTAATTAAGCTGATCGTCTCATGTCACCCACTTTTCTCCCTTGTGAGTTGAGTGCGCCTCCATCGCCGTGTGCGCGTTTTATTTTCGGGCGCACCTGACCTGACGCGGGGACCGGATCTCTGGACTATAGGACTAGCTTTAATCTCACAATTTTCATAATTTAATTGCTATGTCATATATTTTAAAATATTTAAATGTGTGTTCTAAAGGTTGGAACGACGGGAGTGTTTGTAATTAATGACAGAAAGAATTTTAAGTTTTGAGTGAACAATCCTTTATAAAAACTGGGGGGCACAAATTATTATATATAGTATACATTTATTCTATTTAAAAAATTGCATGATCTTTTTTTTTACGTGGTATTTTCCTGATCTATGCATTATAATTTTATCTATAAATGGCCTGCAATCCGATCAATAAAAACATCTTATTACCTGGTGTAAACAGTCAATCAGCCATTACAAACCTGTTGTAATCATCTAAATAGCCATTTTGCCTTCATAAAAAATGGGTGTGAGAAAAAAAAAACTGTGGAAGGAAAATATATTTTTAAGTTTTTAAGTTCCCTCACAAAGATGTTTTCCACAAACACTTAATGTTTTCACAAGCACACGATATACTCTTGAAGGCCTATTTATTATTGATTTTTTTACATTAAACGCATAATAATTAAGTGCAAAAAGAACAGCCGAACTTCGGAAAAAGTGATCACTGCAGTGCTGGGATGGTTGCTTTGTTGATTGCAAAGCATGATTGATGATTGCCCCCTCAGAAAGAATCTGTGCCCTTTTACAAAAGGATTGTTTACTCAAAACTGAAAATTCTTTTTATCATAAATTACTAACACTCTAGTCATTCCAACCTTCAGAACACACAATTAGATATTTTATAATATGAAATAGAATTAAATAGAATATGAAATAATTAAATTATGAAAATTGTGATAATAAAGCTAGGCCTATGGTGCAGAGATCTAGGGTGTGGTTCCCAAAACCATCAACTTAGGTCGCAAGTTCCGTCGTTACAAGCAGTTTGTTGATTTGCCATTTCCCAAATCCATCGCTCCAACAAACATTCGCAAACTGCGTCGCAAACTTGAGCGCTCGCAACTACAGCTCTGCAGCTAGTTGAAACATAGTTCTAGATGTGTTCTATTGCCACTTATCCCCCTACGCCCTATTCATTTAGAACAATATAACATTTAAACATTGAATGATTAAAAATAAAAAAAGCATTAAGATCATCTCTCTTAGGTGTAATTTGCTTTTTACCTATTTTTACAGTTTAGTTTTAGCGATCTTCATATTTACAGTTGTGCTCCCTTTGCAGTGCACTTTAAAAACACTGATGTCATTTTGAACACAGCCTCAAGTGAAAGCTATAGGTGACCTATTATTTAAAAGCGGAATGTTACATCTCCAAAGCTTGTGAAAACAAAAAGCATGCGTGAATTCTTTTGATTTATAGTAGGTTATTTATTAAATATCTGTACTGCATATGACATGGGCCTGCCGGTTAGAACTTTCTGCTCTGGTTTACAAGTGTCAAATTGTAAAAGTAGACTTTTCCAAAAATAAATAAACAATACCCTACTTATTATTATTATTATTATTAATAATAATAATAATAACAACAACAACAACAAGAATCTCCATCATCATCATTAATATTATTATTAAATTATGTTTTTTTTTCACTTCTAATACACAAAATTAAAAATAATAGTTATTATCATCATGATCATCATTAGTATTATTATTATTATTATTAAATTATTATTTTTAAATTTCCTAAAATATAATAAATATTAAATTTCATTTTATAATAAATCGCCTAGTGATTATTTATTCATATGATTTATTTGCAGCATCTGGGGGCAACACAACTAATTTATACATGCACCTTTAACACACCTACTTGATGTTTAACTCTGAGTGGGTCGCCGGTAGATAAGATCAATAGCCATAAATCCGCAATGCATACTCTCATTTTAAAAATCACGCGACCATCATCTTACAATTTTAAATAATAAATAATCTTATTTATTATTAAAACGAGTGATTAAGCAATGCAGCGCCATTAATAAGCCTAGCCAACTACAGAGAAACAAAGCAACCATTGCGGCATCCGCAGTGATTACTTTTTCCAAAGTTCAGCTCTTCTTTTTTGCACTTGTTTATTATGCGTTTAATGTTAAAAAATCAATAATGAATAGGCCGACAAGAGTGTATTCTGTGTGTGTGCGTATGTTATCACTGAACAGAAAGTTGCTTTGTCTGTCTGGCAATATTTCGGCTTTTAATCGAATGAAAAGTTAATTTAGATGAGCCAATTTTTTTTTTAAATGCAGTAAAGTAACTTTGACATGAGGCCACACATCGAATCTGGGGTCTGATCTCATCTCGTTCTCCCTCGCTGTCATCCAGACACTTGATACAGACGCCACACAGTCACAAAACGGTACCAGCTGAGAGGTAGAACAGCTGAAGCCTTTGCGAAATCTGTCAAAATACAGCGCTGAAATTAACAGGCATATGTCTTTGAGCCAAAAAAGTCTTTAGGATATGTAAAAACGCAAGAGCCAGTGTAGAAGTTGTGTCGCCTAATAATTATATTTATTCTAATAAAATGAAAACCAAAATAAACAATTCATTGCATTTTTTGTTTGATAAAAATATACAGAAACTAAAAAAATCAAAGAGTGGCTAGTTTTTATTAATGTGTTTTAATATTAATAAAAATATGCTCAGCCTATTTAAGCTTAATTGTTACACCGCCAATAAATGTCTCACTGTCATTTAAAACATGCAATTCATAACACACCAGCAGGGCTGCGTTTCTCAAACTCACCACTGCACTATCATACGATGCATTGTTTGGGGAAAGAACTATGTAGTGAAGAATGTTTCCCAAAATTCTCTGTCGCTTACCCATCTCTTGAACCACGTTAGTTATAGCGTAAAAGGCCCATATGTTTTAAAGGGGGTAGAGAAACTACTTTTTTTAAAGAAGAACCCCATCATTTATTTGTGCAAATAATATTGTTTTACAAGCACGCATTTAAAATAAAATACTAAAAATATTAGTTTTGCCAAAAACATGCACTCGCTTTCCATATTAACTGACATATATATTAATGCCACATAGATCCAATGTTTCCTTTACTAATAATATTGAGAATGTGACATATACTAAATCAAATCACTTACAAAAGCTAACACGTATTCTATATTCTATATTCATATATTAATCATATGAATAAATGAATAATGAGGCTGTTTATTATAAAATGTATTTTTTATTATATATTAGGAAATTAAGAAAAAAATCCTAATTTAATCATAATATTAATAATACCAATGATGATCATGATGATGTCTGAAAGATAACATTATTAGCGTGAAAAACAAATTATATATACATACATATATATATATATATTAGCAATAAACTGTAGTATGGTTCAAAAACATATTTTTACTATAGTTTTTTCATGCGAGTAGCTTACAGTAGTTTTGTCAATGGCAGAAAATATATTTCAGTTCAGTAGAAAACTCTGTCCTCTTTATAATATTTCTATTTATTTCTCCTTTGTATTATAGTATCAATTAAAAAATGCAGACTTTCCTTTGTCTCACATTCATATTTTTTATTTCCTGCTCACCATCTTAATTTTATGAGTCACCAGAATCTCTTGATTACACCCAAAGTTTTGCTGATAAAAATATATATATTTTTTGCAAGCATTCACTTTAATAAGTCAATAACAGATTATTAATATCCAATTAAAGATCATTTCACCAAGCTCATACCACAGTGCTTAAAAACAGGATGCTTTTGATTTATACAACTAACAATCTCCCTAATAGAGCATGTGCTGGCTACTGACAATTTGTAAAGGTAAAAAATAATATAAGTACTGTTCAGTAACACTCTTTTTACTAATACGGTTTAAGTATAATTTAATAAGACTCTCAATTTATGAATAGTTAACTGGTAATCTGAAACCTTCAACCTTCGTTAAAATATCAATTGTTAAAAAAAGTTATATTGCTGAATAAAAAGAGTTAATATATGGACAACTACTATACATTTGTCTTCTTTTGATACACAATTTTAAACATGTGGTTAAAAACTTATCTTAATTAATGGCATAAAATTATCTTTTATATTTTTTTGGTAGGCCAGAGAAAAAGTTGGCAGGACAAGTAAAAATCTTTTCCACTGGCCACACCAGGCCAGTAGAAAAAAATCTTAAGTGTTGAGCCCTGTTGACTAATTCTCATTCTCATTCTCATTAAAATATGCATGGTTTTAAGACAATTACTTTGGATTACATATATATATATATATATTACAACCCGCAAAGTACCGCGTAAGTACAGTGAAATAACGGTGTACTTTTCTGTACATATAATTAACGTTTGCGTAGGTACACTATATGTACAGAAAAGCACACCGTTATTTCACTGTACTTACGCGGTACTTTGTGGGTTGTAAAAGAAAGCGTTACCGTCATGGGTGCTGTTGTTTTACTACAGTAATACCTTCAGGTTCTGCGCTGCAGTGGCGCCTCACAGCAAGAAGGTCGTTGGTTCGAGCCTTGGCTGGGTCAGTTGGCGTCTCTGTGTGGAGTTTGCGTGGGTTTCCTCCAGGTGCTCCGGTTTCCCCCACTGTCCAAAGATATGCGGTACAAGTTAATTGGGTAGGCTAAAATTGTCCGTAGTGAATAAGTGTGGATGTTTCCCAGAGATGGATTGAGGCTGGAAGGGCATCCGCTGCATAAAAACATGCTGGATAAGTTGGCGGTTCATTCCGCTGTGGTGACCCCAGATTAATAAAGGCACTAAGCCAAAAAGAAAAAGAATAAATGACTGAATGAATAAATGAATGAATGAATGAATACCTTCAGAGAACATAGTAGTCAGTGATCCACATAAGCAGAGTGGTGTGTAGTCAGAACTGGAACAGAAGTCTAAGCGCACACGATGATGTTTTCAATTGGAGATTCCAGCGAAACTGCCATTAAAAAGTTATATGAAAAATAACATGTTAATCAGTATGACATCTCACCTGGTATCTACTATTACAAAGTACAATTCCATTAATATATATGTCCAATCCACAGTATCTGTACCATAAACTAGCCACAATTTTGACTCCTCACTCAGTATATTAAGTTGCATGGTATTTTGTGAGAAATTCAATGATCTTGTTTGGATTGCATTTCCTTGTGAAATTATAAAAAGCTTCATGATATAATTTTTAAAAAAATGAATGCGTTTACAAACATTTTTAAAGATACTTTTATGAGTAAACTGCAGTAACGTGAATCGAAAGAGAAGGATGTAGACAAAATTATTTTTAATAAACAGGGAAAAAAAAACTTACACCAGAACATAGCACAGCAATCAGAAAAAAAAACAGACAAGCATGGTTTGTGAACAAAGGAAATCAGTAAAGAATGAAACCACAAAGAATTAACTTGACTTGACTAGCGATAGGGTAACGTTAGACAACTTACGAAATAGCAAGCTTCTCTGGCGAGGAGACCATCTATAAATTTACAAACAAAGTAACAAAACCGTGAACCGACAGCGATTCACTTTGTTAGGATTACATGTTAAAAAATGTTAGCTCGATGATAAGCACCGTTAATGCTATTTGCGAAGTGCTTATAACGTTAAGTTAGCCTTTAACGTTATAGCCGGAGCAATACTTTTTATGCTCATTCCAAGTCGATTTGATAGATCATCTTATATTTTTACACAGGTTAGAAAGCAATGAAGACATAAAATTAAGTAATTTTGCTGAAATTGCCAAATAAATAACCAAAACAGCTATTTTTTTAAATATATATATTCATTAGCTGCTGTCAATGACCTCGTCAATACAGGGCGACATAAAAACGTATAAAGTGGTTAAGTGTTCATTAAAAATTTATTATAATGTAAAACGTTACACATCTAAAGTTCAATTCAACATAAATTATAAGTAAAACGACAAATAAAACATGTGAAACGTCGAATATCGTACTTACCTTTGATTACCGTTCCGCCCGTTGCTTGTATCCGTTATTTAATTCAAATGATGAGCCCGCGCACGCACGTCACGCTGACTCGCGCAGAAGAGTTCCTGGCTGTGTTCTATTAACTCACCTTATATCTGTTATCGAGCATCTAAAAATACAGCTCCTGAGATGAAGAGCATCTGACAGTCAGGGCTAATGATGAAACTTCTGCTCAGACAATGATCTGAGGACAGCAGCGATGTTTACGAGCGAGCTAAATGCTGCATTGTGTAGCTATAGTACACAGATGGCACTGTTACTTCATATGTGCTTAAATATCTCTCTGAAATAACGCAAACACTCTCAAAGTGCGTAAAAGAGTATTAAGAGTTGAGCATGATACGACGTGAATACTTGTTAGCGTCCATAGATATATACGTTAAATGTCGCCTACCCTAATGTTGTGTTGTGGACGGAATGCGTCAACAGATTCGCCATTTTAGTACAGGGTAACGCTCCTTTGAAATGAACGCTTCTTTTAAATGAGCGCCATTTAGCGGTCACATAATCTAATGACTATTATGAACTTATTTTATAAATACATATAACTTGACATTAACTTTTTTTCTTACCAACCCCACTGGTCTTTTTCATAAGACAAAATTTTATTGTTGGAAACTGTGTTTTATATATATCTATATTTGACTTTTGCATGCTTGAGGAAGAGACGTTTTACTTGATTTGGGTCATTAAATAACTCATACTACCAATATTATGATATAGGTTGCCTATATCTGCTGTATTCACCCTAAAACCTACAGTAGGTTGACATAAAACCAATGACAACACCCATTCTTGTCTTAAGATATTTTAAGCAATTTTTTGAATAACAGTAAGTTCATGACATGTTACATATATAGTAAATCTGCTAGTTTTAAACATACAGCATAATAATAAATACAGGTATGTAACAACCATAACATTACTCTTATGTCTTAGGACAAATATGATTAACTTTTGATTACCTACACTAAATGTTGACTACTGAAGGTACATTTATAACAACTATTTATTTGTAGACTACTGTATTATCAAACCATATTGCATACAAATGCATTCAACAGACTTAAATGACAGTGTATTGCTGTAGAAGACAAATAAAACACGAGACAGGTGTTTAGGAAGAGTATAGTTTATTTTGTTTGACCTGCAAACTTATCTAAAAAGACAAACTCTCAGAAAACAAACCGAAAACATTATGATGCGCGCGCTCGTGGAGATGACCCGCGGTCGTCTTCAACTGTTGTCTTCAATAGTCCTTCTTTGCTCAACAACTCATCTGAAAAACAAAGCAAAACATTACAACATTCAGACAAAGAGCAGAGAGCATAGAATCACCAAGAGGCGATACTCTAGTGCAATTTGGGAAACAATAACGCGCTTTTTGAATAAATTAAATAAAAACAAAGCCGCTGTTTGCCATTGCGACAGCAATGATATCCAATGCACGAGCGATCGCTTTCACTTCAAAAATGGCCGAATCTGTTGCTCTTGGTCATCCTAGGCTCTTTGCATAAAGTTAAATCATAACAGTTATCATGGTTTCTATTTCAAACTATAGTAAACTAAAGTTTGAAACTATAGTTTAAAATAGAAGATGAGTGGGCCTCGCTACTCCCACCCACCATAACCCTCGCAGCGAGGTCCCACTACCGGCCCCCCGTGTTTCCCTGAGGGTCCTCGGGGGTTGTTTGTTCCCTGCCTAGGGCTCAAAGGCCGCCTCGCCCCAGGGAGTGCACGGAATGACCGGGCGCCAGGCCGTGCCAGTATTCACTGGATGTTGCTCGGCGGCACATTTCGAGCAACAAACACGTAATATTCTTCGCGATATTGCGTTTATGTACGCAAACCGCAAGGAACTACAGCACAGACGGGCCCGGGTGAAGCATCACGAAGCGGACTTCGTGAGTTTGGCGTAGCTCCACTCGTACCGTCGGTATTGAACTCACCTTGGTCAAGTACAAACAGCTACACCGGGCGAACTGACAACGCTGACTGAGAGCACACGAGCTTTATAGGAATGCATATGCAAATTTTTACAAGGCACGTCACTGTTGTCTCGTTGTCATGGCGAGCGCTGAGGAGGGCTCACCTGATTGGAGCACAGAGACTCGTGAATTTGCGTCACGGCTAGTTGCCGTCTGCTGTTGACAAAAATATCTTAAATATAATAAATATATATTTTTACATTTTTGGTGCTCTGTAATATTCTGGGATGCAGTAGAATATCGAGACAGATGAATATAATTGGATATATGCCGAGCTAGTGTTGTTCCCATACTTATAAACTTCCGGTGACCGGTTATTGTGAGTTTTTTCCATTTTATACGGTTCCTTTTACAGCATTGATGTTGTGATGCAATTAAAATACATTCCGTTAAATAAACTTTGGCATTCATTTAGTTTTTCAAGCGTAAAACGAGACAAAAGACCCTTTACTCGCACTCGCCCGTCAGAATCGGCAGACTAGCGCAGACGCTCCATTGAATACAATGAGGTAAAATAAATGCTCATATTATAAAGACATGGCGGGGGAAATGTAATTTAATGCAGTGCTTCTTGTGCAACCTGAGACCCACTTTATTTCGGATATCACTCAGCCAGAGGAGATCGCTGATTTTTTAAAGAAAACAGACCTTAAACATGCTGATTTTTCCTTTGGCAGTTTGCTGGAAGCGCTTAACCCAGGTTACTGACAAATTAAATGTCCTATTAGCATGCTTCAGCATATACCCTAAAATCCCAGGTAGTCTTTCGAAAAAGAGTACGGGTTTAACACCACCATCCTGGCCAAATTTACCCACTGGCCTCTGTCCTTCATGGCCTCCCGACCCTCCCCATATCACAATTGGCTTTATCACTCTGTCTCCTCTCTCTGTGGTGTGCGGTCTGGTGGAAAACGGCTGCTGTCGCTTCATCCAGGTGGATGCTACACTGGTGGTAGATGAGGAGATTGCTACCCAATAAATACCAAACTAGCTAAATTTAATAACAATATTTCCCCCTAATGCTAATTTTGTACTCAGTATGATGAAACACTAAAGCATTTATTTTGAGAGTGTACTTACTGTAAAGTGTTTTGGGTTGACTTTTCCAATTTCATTAAAAAAATTCTTATTTCCAAACTTCTGTATTTCCCCAAAAATTGTGTTCTTTGGTTACTCTCTGAGTGTAGATCCTTCTCATTGTAAATTTATTATTGATTTATTGTTTTTTTATAGCAAAGTTTTACTTCCATAAATGTTAATTTTCAAAGATACACCCTTACTTTTTTATTTTCAGAAAGATCTTAGAAATTTATGTGAACTCTTTAAAAGACTCTAACAATTACACTGCATGTAAAACGCTTTCTTGGTGTAAATTATTTAAACTTGATTAATTTGCTGGAATTCTATTTATGTAACCCTCTTTGTCTCTTTGTTCATATTATATATTTGTAATGTTCTTTCTTGCATTAAAAAAAGTATATGAGGAGATTCCCCCTATGTGTAAAGCGCTTTGAGTGCCAAGAAAAGCGCTATATAAATGTAAGGAACTATTATTATTTTTATTATAAAGCACTGTTCTACCATCATGATATAGCCAGACTAAAATAAAAATCACATTATTACGATTAGCTTAAACTACAGCAAACACTCCACTCACTGACAAACAGCCCCTTTCATAAAGATTTATTCCACAGGTCTGTCATAATCAGGCAAATATACATTAACATACAGAATATCGGCCTCTTCTGATGCGCCACACGTTAAATAACGCAATAGTTCAAGACACACGTTTGCTTTTTTTCTCTACTTAAAAGAACGATAACAATACATCATAACAAGAGCAACAACAACAACAATAATTCATATCATAAAGATAAGCCAAGTTGTCTTTTCTAAAATTCAATATATAGCGACTCTTTTAAGGTGCACCACATGATCGGCAGGTGACTTGTTAAAGAAACTCAACAAATGTTGCACCATGACACACACACTGAAATAGACAGAGACTTTTTGCAAACGTTGTATATGTATATAAGTGTCTCTTTAAGATCGTCTTCTGGCACTTTCTCCTGAGCGCGTCCGGCTCGGCTGTGTTTCTAAAGTTAAAGCAGTCTGTTTTTGTTGGTTTGGCACACGTCAGGGTGGAAGCGGTGGTAGAGTAAGGCTTCTCTTCTTCTCTTCATATCCAGAAGACTCTGATATCTCATCTCTCACAGCACCTCTGCAGGAAAACAGCAGAAACACATGTGAGAAGATGATTTATTGAACTATTAAAAGCTTGCCAACAACATCTATGACTGGTATTATGAAGCTGAAAATAGAGACGCTTTGCAGAATGCCAAGGCTGCTTTTTTCAGTCATTCACACTGTCCTAAAGTCAACAAACAGCAGAAATCATCAGTTTCATGCCTGGAAAATAGCTTGGAGACTCTCTTAATCATCCTTTATACATTATTTTCAAGATTTTATTTTAGGTTCAGTTTAGTTCAGTTCAGTATAATGTAAATGTCACTGCTGAAAGACGAAACACTGAAAAGCAACTCCACTGGTGCCCAGATTTGATCCATATATGATCTAACATACAGCTGAAACCAGAAGTTTACATACACTCTAAAAAAAGAAACACAACCATTTAAAAAAATGTCTGATGGTAAATGATACTAATCGTTTACTATTTTAGGTCCGTTAGGATAACCTAAATGATTTACATTTGCTAAATGCCAGAATAAAGAGAGATTTTTATTTGAGAATTTTCTATTAATTTCTAGACAGTCAAAAGTTTACACACATTTCCTTGGTATTTTTTTGCTTTGCTTTTAAACTGTTTAACTTTGGTCAAATGTTTTGGGTATCCTTCCACAAGCTTCTCACAATAGTTTGCATGAATTTTGGCTCATTCCTCCTGACAGAATTGATGTAACTGATACAGATTTGTTGGATGTCTTGCTCGCACAAGCTTTTTCAACTCTGCCGAGAGGGTGCTCGCTGCAGAGCCATTTGAGGAGAGCTGAGCTCCAGCAAGGGGAGAGCATGAGCTGTCGCTCCTCCTCCTGTAAGCTGTTTTAATGCGTACACCAACCCCACCCCTAACCCTACCCCCAGTGACATCACTCGTAGAAGAAGTGCAAAAAAGGTGGAGCTCAAGCTTAAGCTCCCCCTCTCTGGAGCTCAGCTCTCCTCAAATGGCTCTGCAGCGAGCACCACTGGACTCTGCCCAAAAATTTTCTATAGGATTGAGATCAGGGCTTTGTGATGGCCACTCCAAAACATTCACTCTGTTGTCCTTAAAGCACATTTGAACTAATTTGGCAGTATGCTTAGTGTCATAGTCTGTTTGGAAGAGCCATTTGTGGCCAGGTTTTCATTTCCTGGCTGATGTCTTGAGATGTTGCTTCAGTATTTCTACATAATGTTCTTTCTTCATGATGTCATCTATGCTGTGAAGTGGACCAGTCCCTC